ACACACACACACAAACTCATACTTACCGTGTGATATGTAATGTGAGCTTTGAAAGTTAGTATTAGAAATTAAAATTCCAATGAAAGAACCCGTTTGCCCCATCCAAGAGAATCAAGAAAAGTTGAACTGTTTGCCAAATTCCTGTCCTCCTTTCCCCAAAGCTGTACCTTGTGAATTTATTGTTGTTAGTCAATAAGTTATGACATTGAGGGAAGACACCAATGTGTTTGTGTTCCTGACATGGTGTGTCACTGAGGTCTGGTCATTCTTACCCCAGAATCAATCACACAATGGAATAGCTGCCTTCATCGTTGGCACATGGCTTGAATGGCTTTGTTTCTCTGCTTGCGTCAAAGTATGCATTCTTGTCCTGCCGCAGACAAGCCTTTGTTTTATATTTCTTTTCATTTCCTTCATCCCCATGAGTATACAGTCTCTTCTGTTGGCCAGTCTTTCCTTTAACCTCACTCTATGCTAATGTCAGTGCTTTTTCACTTCTGAATGAACCATTTACCACCTCTTCTTTATTTACTATTAGTGCTTAGAGTCTCTTTAATTGAAAAAATTAAGACCATATTTCATTTAATGGGAAATACGATTTGCATATCAAATGCCACTGCAAGAAAATGATTTGATGTAGTTTTAAACAGACAGAAAAGGAGAAAAAGTGTAGGCCTTTTGTTATCAACATTTTATTTCATTTTCTTCTCCCCCAATTATACCTTTCATAGGATACCTTATTTTATTTTTCCCTTTAGCTAATTTCTAATAAAATTTTTTTTGGGATATCTTACAAATACTAACTACAAAATCCATAGATAAACACATGAAGCGAAAGCCTGAGGTCCTGAAAAACTCCAGGGAAAATGTAGAAGAAATGCATATTTGTGAAGACTTGCGTAGTTACATATTTGAGTTAATAGCATGAACTCTGAGCTTCTTTGTAGTTGAAGCAAGGATGCTCTGGTCAGTTTCGAGTAGTCTGTCACTAGAGAGGAGAAGATGCCCTTGTCGTTTTTGAGGTCAGAGCCAGAGGCCCACTCCTTGAGTGTGTCTTTGTTTAGAGGACTCTGAGTGCTAGTGGATGACATTTTAATGACATTATTAAGTAATTACAGTAGTCTGTTTTATAAAGCTTTGAAAGACCCTTTTAGGGCATTCATTAATGTAAGCTGAGGGCCAAGTACAACAAAGTAACTGTCTTGTCAGAGACCAACAAAGCATGACCTAAACATGCAGCTTTTTGATGGTACAGTACAGTTTAGGGGTGGGAATGTGGCTGTCTAGAGAGTGACATGCTTTTATTCTTTAAAATCATCTCCAGGACTGAAATTCCTTTCACATGGCTCCTGGTAGAAGTCAGCTAGCAATGATTCAGGAACTTATTCTCTGGCAAGAAAGAGTTCCTCTTTGTTGATTAAGGAGTGGCTCTCTATTTTAAAAATCAACCGGCTGACTAGGAGGGTGGACAGTCTCTTGTGAAAACTAGACCAGAAATCAACACGGCTTTTTGAGTAGATGGCCACCCACTCTCTACATTGAGGTGAACCAAGAATGGGCAGGTCTGAGGGGTTAGTGAATTAAGAGTTTTGGGAGCCTATTTTAGCATGTGAATACATGACTTATTATGTCTCCAAAGTGCTTCTCACCATGTGACCACAATGATTAAGACTGGAACATTTTCAAAGCATAAGTTGCCAGCCACCCACTATGACTATAGAAAAAAATATTTTTTTTCAGTATATGCACTGATAGAACATCTGGTTCTAAGAAACAGATCTTAGTGAATCTGCCAAGATGAGTTAGTTACAAGCTCATGCTTAAGTATCTCAATAAATTAATTTTTGTGTTACATGAGGCTGATATAATTACATTTGGGAAGATAACTGACTTGAATAGTAACTTAGGTTTTAAAGTAAGTGATTGGAAGGAATTCTTTCTGATAATACTAATTTCGCACTGGAACCCCTGACTGTCTCTTACTGCCGTGCCATAAGCATATAGAAGGCACATTGGACACATTTATGTTAATCAAAAACATCACTAAAATGAGCCAAATGACAATAGTAGAATCAGGGCACAGGCAGATAGCTCAGTGCCCTTCAACACTGTTGTATGGTTTGTTAGTGGTACCTTTCCCTAGTCCCTTCTTATGTAAGGCTCGGTCTCAGGCAGATCTTTACTTAGCATCAGCATCAACATCACGACTTCCCTAAGCCAAGACTGACTACTGTTTTTGGCAGAATTAAAGTCACCAGGAGGGTGTGTTACTCTGGACTAACTCACCAGTAGTCTTAGACAAAGATAATTTTAACTACGGCCCTTAGCAAAATAATTGTCCCATTATAGTTTTTATAATAAAAATATTGATCCAATAAATAGATATTGGTAGCTTATCAAAGAGAAAGCTGACATAGTAGCTGAGACAGGATGGCTGTCATGATAGCGTGCTTTGGAAATACTCTGGCTGTTACTCTCACTAATGATCTGTCTTTAGTTTTCTGACATGAGAAAGCTATCGTTCTGCTAATGGAACCTACAATTCTGGATTGGAAGTGAATTAAAAGATTTTGAGTGACTGTGCCTGGGAGCTAGAGTGCCTCTTCTTATTTTCCATTCCAATATAGTCATTTGATGATCACCAAATGTCACCAAAATGTGGGGTACATGTGGCTTACAAAATAGCTGAGTACTGAATGAAATGAATCTTAGCATTTCTTAGAGACACGGCATAAGAAAAAGGGTAAAAATAATGGCGACCAAGACTGAGGTAGATGCGTGTATTTTCAAAAGAAGCATGGAGATGTAAGAACTGAAACATAATTGATTTTACTCAATAAAAAATATAAAAAATGCCAGTGTTTGATGTCTTTTATCCTCTCAATCTGAATTTGCCCTTTTATGCTCCTTATATACCTTTTATACATGCCACTGCTTAGGCACAACTTACACAAAATGCTTTTCCCTTAGAACGGTTTATCAATGCTTTGATTTACCTTAAGGATAAGTGATGAAACTTACTGAAATGAATACTTTCTGGCTCTTTAAATTTAGGTGAGCCTGAAGTCATGTGTGCACGAATATCTTTCTAAGAGAGCAACAGCAATAACCTACATTGCTCTTTGCCTAAAACTTATCCCAAAGCAGAGAGATGACACCTTCTATCTTTCTGTGTTTGTTTTATTTAGAATGAATTGTATAGTTTTGAGGGTCTCAGTAGATTTACAAAGCCAGCGTATTTACTAAATAAATTAAGAATTCTTCACCCAAGTCCCTTCATTCCTTCTTCTCTGTTCTTCAGAGAATGCTCTACATGTCAAAAAAAAGTGTGGGAATTTTGTGTTGGCCAACTACTCCTGGGATGGGACTTCCCCTGGAGTGTGGTTCTGACACATCCCATGAGACTCCATTGGAGAAGACTGATTTTCTGTTTCTCAGCAGGTTCTGATTGCAAATAGCCTTTTGTGTATAGGGTAGTGGGGGCGGGGACCTGAGAGGAGCTATGAGAAGGAAAGGAATGTGATCAAAACATACTGTACAATCTTTTAGAATAAAAAATTAGAAGTGTTTGTGGCTGTCTTTGGAAACATAGAAAGACTTGGGAATCTCTCTTCTCTGAGGACGTCTCTCCTGGGGTGTGTTTCTTTTCCTATCACATTTCTAAGATGTAAGTTCCCGGCACAACGCTACATGCCATTTTATTCTTCCTTCCTTGACTTAAGCATGGTTGAGCCAAGTGAAGCTTTTATTTGGCATGCAGCCATTTGTTGGTGTTCTTTTTCTAGTTTTTTAAAATAAATTTATTTATTCTGTTCTTCACATCATGTGTCTGGATCCCATTCATTCCCTGTCCCTTTGTATTTGCTCTCTGCCCACCCCCACCCCAATAGAAGAAAAAAAATGAAGAAAATAAAATGAGAAAAATTTAAGAAAAAAGGGAAGGAATTAACAATCTCATCATGGAAGCAGCTGTGTGACCCAACAAGTCCTGCCCTATACACTTTGGCCCATACATTTCTACTTGCAAGTGTTCGTCGTCGTAAAGAGTCACTGGTCTGGTTCCAGGCTCCTGGTCTCCACTACATATTCAGTGCTGGGCACCACTAGGACTCTTCCTGGACATTCTGTTACCTCCCTGTGTTGTGGAGATCCTGCAGCTCTGGATCTTCAGGTCAGGTCCCATCACATGCTCCAGCAAATCATAGATGGGGTGGATGTTGGGGTAGGCCGAGTTTTTGGGTCTGGGCCTGGGCAGCTATAGGGTTGCTCCACAAGATGGGAAATGGGGACAGCTGTCCCATGCTCACAATTTCGGGGCTGGCACACCCATCCCTCCTCTAACAGGGTTGTGCTGCCCTGGCATTGTGCGGGACGTGCTCTCCCGAATGTTGCAGCTGACGGGGATCAGAGACAGCTCTCCCACTCTTCTGACCACAGGGCCTTCTCTACCCACTGCCCCAGGCAATGGCGGACAGGGAGAGGGCTGCTCCTCCCACCACCATGCCGCCAAAAGACAAATGAGGAATGGGACAGCTCTCCCATCTTCGGGCCTGGCTCACCCACTCCTGCGCTAACAGGGTTGGCTCTATTGTGCCACTTTGTTGAGGTGCATGGACTGCTCTCCCAAGTGTTGCAGCTGGTGGGGGTCAAGGACATCTCTCCCGCACTTATGACCCCAAGGCCAGCTCTCCCACTTGCTGGGAGGGCACTTCTCCTTGTTGGTATTCTTAACACCATTGTTCCTCTTCAAATTTGGTGGCTGCCTCTCATTGTTTATCAGAATACATAACTTACCCTGCATTATTTTTATCCAAGGACATTCTACTGCTTTTATCGATAGCTAAAAGTGTCCATCACCATACATACAACAGCACAGTTTAGTGTACTTCAGTTCAGAAATGACCTGGAATGTTTTGGAATTAAAAAAAAATGTTTATTAAGTCATCATTGACAAATAAAACTTACCCTTGTGTCTCTATCAAATTCCTCCCATCAGGGCTCAGAAGTGGAGGCAGAAAGATTGTAAGAACCAGAGGGGATGGAGGACACCATTTCCAATTAGTCCTTCTAAACACCGCAGGGTAAGTGCACATATGAACTCACAGAGACTGAGACAGCATGCTCTGGGGCTGCATGGGTCTGGGCTGGACAGCATGCTGGGGGCTGCATGGGTCTAGGCCGGATGTGGTCCCAGTGCTGAGAGAGGAAGTGAACTCATGCCCTCATCCCTAATCAAGACTCCATCTCCAGATTGTTGACCACTTGCAAATGAAAAATGAGGTTTCTCCAATGGAATCTCGCTGGGAATATTAACCAGTCTTAAGGGCAGGCCCTGTGTCCTGTAGTAGATGGCCAAAACAAACTCCATCAGGTTGGGACCTCTTTGTTTCATAATGCTTTTTTTTTTTCAACCCTACAGTTTTTTTTTATTTTTTATTTTTTTTATTTATTTATTTTTGTGTGTGTTGTAAATATTATGGTTTTTGGTTTTGTGTTTTATGGGGTTTTTTGTTTGTGTGCAAACTTGTGTGTCTGCATCTATACGCATTTCTTGTGCCTTTACTTTGGCTCTTCTCTTTTTTTCCCTGAGTGTTTATTTTGTTCTATTCTGGTTTGTTTGTTTTTATTTTATCTTATTATTATTTTAGGTGCCTGTTTGTATCCTAATGTGAAACAGAAAGAGTGTGGATTTGGGTGGGTGGATAAAAGAGGAGGATCGTGGAGGAGTTGGTGGAGGGCAAACCATAATCAGAATATATTATATGAAAAAGCCTTTTTAACTAAACAAACAAACAAACAAACAAATAAATAAATATCACCTTTAGTGTTAGAGACGGCTATAAACTTGTGCCACTTCCAAGTCACACAAAATTCAAATAATTTTTGCCAACTGCCCCCTATACATCTGAAAGGCAAGTCACATTAGCTCATTTAATTCCTTTTGAACTGTGTACCATGTTAATCGCTGTTAATGCATCACATTAAATGTAGTTTCTACAGCAAAAGCACTCAGGAGCAACTGATTTTAAAGTTACCTGCTCTATCCATCACGGCAAGCTCCCCTTGAAAGAATGATTTAGGTATTAAATGATAGCCATGAGCAAAGGGCAGAACTGTGCGATCCTCTCTGATAAGACGTCATGATGGTCATGAAGACGAATTTAAAAGTGTAAGGCTGTCTGATAGTAGCTTTGGACTTTTAGGAATAATTCTCCAGAGTGTTATGAAGATGTTAAATAGTCTTCACTCTCTAACTTCTATGTGAGCACTAATGGGTAATGTTATTTCAAATGCTGAAGCTAGATAAATATTTGATATAGATAATAGACTTAGAACAGTGTCCACTTAAGAACAGTAAATGCATAAGTCATATATGTATGTGGAGAGACAGAAAATACAGAGTATATAAATTTATTTTTAATTATGCATGTTTATGCAAGTCTGTGTGCAAATATATACATGTTAGTGCACGTGTCCATTAAGGCCAGACTAGAAAAGAAGACTGTTGGATTCCTTGGATTTGGAGTTATGGGTAGTTTTGTGCTAACAGATATGGGTGCTGGGAACCAAACTTGGGTCCTTTGCAATAGCGTTATGCCCTCTTAACCACTGAGACTTCTCTGCAGTCATTACATAACATTTCTTAGCAGGAAGTACAGAATAATAATGATAACAGGAGTATGTATTTAAATGAGGACTCAAAATAATACTCTATTGGAGGTAGAATTCCATTGTTGATATCCACTCTTCCCTGCTACCTGCAGCTTATGAGCAAAGCCAGCTTGATATCTTGATATTATATGAATGCCCCCAGCTTCTTATGGAGAAACATATACATTCTCCTGATGCCTAAAATCTTAATATTAAAAATACATTGGATTTTAGGTGGAGGATGGAGTACTTGCTTGCTTGGCATGTACTAAGTCTTGGGTTTGATTCTAAACATTGCAAGTAAAAATACCTAAAAGCAATGTAATGCAATAAGAATTCCAAGGAAAAAGCAAAGTGCTGTAGAATGATAGCTCTAAATGACTCAATGTCTTAGCAGATTCGGGAATTCATCCTTAGGATACATAACTCGTGCATTCCATCTTGCTATAAAATACATGACTCTCTGCGTGTAACTCGAGATTGAACAGAAGTCCTCATGGACGCTAGTCCAGTGCTCTACTCCTGAGCTTGCCCAGACTGGCCTTGAATTTGTGATTATTTTTCTTATCTCAGTCTCCTAAGTAGCTCAGAGTAAAGCCAGTGCCACCAGGCCAGTTTTATTTGATTTCTTACTATATGATACACTCACTCATGCTAGAGAAATGCTTTATCCCTGAGCTACATCTCTAGTTCTGAATTTCACATTGAAAAGCAATTAAGTGATCAAATATCAGCATTAACAATAACAGCAAGTAGGAAAAGTTATGAAAATGTTAAAATCATCCTTCTTTACAAGTAATATTAAGCACTTTGGTGGTATGAGATTATAAAATGTAGTAGGGAAATATATTTGGCAAGAGAACAAATAAATATATGAGGAGTCACACAAACTGAAAACTGCCAGTGAATGGATTTTTCCATTAATCTAGTGAGGATTATGTGGTTCCACTAAAGATTTGCATTAAGATAATGAAAAGACCAGACAGATTTTGCCAGGCATTCTGGAGGCTTGACTAGACAGGGAATCTACGAGAGTACTGGATATTCAGTGTGTGAAAATTATCATGGTAACTATGAAAAGAAGTATTTTTTCCTTAAGTTAATAATACAGCTCTAGTTGGCAGCATCCTGTTAGATTCATATGGTGCTCTTTTTACTGAAGAGAAGCCTGCGTGAGGGCCACTTCTTTTATCTTTTCAGATATTACGCCCATGTGGTCAGGAGAATGGCATTTTCCCTATCTGTCTATGGACTGGCTCATGACACAATTTATCAGAGGCTTTGAAGTCCGGAGAGGAATGCCATAAAGTTCATAGAGTGTTACTGTCCCTTTTGATCAGAGGCTTGCCGTATTTGTCTTATTTATGCTACTTTTGAATGTGGATCTCTAAGACACTAGCTATTGCCCGCGTTTTACATACATGCCATCCTTACTTAACTAATCGGGCAGACATTGGCCAGTACCTAGTCTAGCAGATACCTCTATTTTCTGACAAGATGTCTTAGATGGAAATAAGAACAGCAATTCTGATAACAGCGCATCTATTGGAACATTCCGCCCCTTTGTGGTGCTTTGCTTTGAAAAGTCATCTTCTGGGCAAAGACTTGGGCTTTTGCAAGATTTTGCTATTCTTTCCCAGAATGCCTGTTAACCACACTTTCTTGAACATCTCCACTGATCATACTTTCTTGAACATCTCACAGCTGACACGGGATTTTCCAGTTTCTAAATCTGTAGCTAATGAAAATGTGTTTCTGGACTCAACCTGAATGTTCTGGTTTTTAAACGAAGCAGATCACAAGCAGCTTGGACTTAAAGTAAGTAAGCGAGGCATCTTTGATTTGCTTGAAGGAAAAACTGGGGGAAAATCACGAGGGCTTGGTTCTGTTTTTAATGTGACGACACGTTGGCCACAGTTCCTTCCTTTCCATTTTCTGACTCGAGTAAAAAATATCTTTCCCTTCAATGCCCACAGTCTGAAGACACTGTGATAATGAGGTGTTTGAACCAGTCAGTTTTGCTTTGCAGCTGCCTTGCTGTTCCTGTTATTTTTACTCCATCAAATCATTTTAGAACTCTAGAAATGAGGAAGGGATTGGAGTTTGCTGTGTAGACACATGGAATTTAGAGATGCAGTGTTTCCCTCAACACGGCAAGTTCAAAGCCATCAACCTCCACGTGCTGTTTTAAATTATGATTGTGAGATTAAAACAATTGGATTAAATGCTGTGGTTAAATATACCTCCACAATTGTTAATGCAACAAAGATTGAAAAGGAATCTTTATGTACCTATTTATATGCCTCTGCTTGATATGTATGCTGATGTATTCAGAAGGTACAGCAGCTTTCAATGTACATCAGCAGCTTAGAGATGTACTATGTCATTAATTATTTCAATGAACTTGGAGTCTGGAGTCACCATATAGCATTTGTAGTCTGTTTTAATTAGTATTTATTTACTTCTTTATTGTTTTAATAATTATTTCAAGTCTTCCCTTCTGATCATACACCATGCCGTATTTAATCAACGATAAGTTAGGTGGGCAGTACACTAAACTCTTTAACATTTTCCATAAACCAGTTTTTCTTAAGGTTTATTTTTAATTGATCAAATTATTGCATATATTGGTTAACATGTGTTGCCATGCATAGTCATTAAATCCTTCTTGACTCAACAAAGTTAACAAATTCAACAAAATTCAGCTTGCTCTCAGTCCACAAAACTGGTGGGAAATGGGTAGCTCTAACAGTTGTTTGGGGTGTTCAATATGATTTTCTTGCCAAAATTGTAACAGAAGTTCCTCGAAATTAAGATGAAAGAAACTGTCATTCTCAGTTCTAGCTTACTTTGGAAATATTGCAGTGGCCCTATTTGAAATTAAGATTTTTTTTTTAAAAGAGAAAATGGTCTCTTTCAGCTCTAGCTTCCTGCAGGAAGTGTCATGCTTGGATAAAAATCGCCTGCTCCAAAATGGCTTCTGGCTTCAAGAGAAGCTATATACCCAGGTCCTATTCTGGGGTCCCTAGCTAAATCTGCAGATACGGGTTTTTGTCTTTTCTTTAAACTCTAGTGTTGATACAGAGGAAATGTCAACTGATAATGGTTCTTTCTTCAGTCTTGGCCCAATCTTAAATCAATCTATTTTTCTAGTGCATGTATTTCAAGGTATTTTTCTCTGGATAAAGGCAAGCTGCCCAATGGAGTCAGGCACTTATAGCCAGTAAAATAATTTGATAGATGACACAGAACTTGTGATTCTCTGGTGACTCCCTTTGGGTATGGGGAGACCATGGCTTTCTTTCATGCCTGTCTTGCCAGCCCTCTACAAAAGTGTAGAGGCACAATCCCTCAGATTTACCAAGGTACTCTTCTTTCCTTCTGAGCCAATGCCATGGTCCTTTCCTGCTTGTGATAAAATATATTATTTCAGAGACTAGGTGCCCAGAGCTTGTTATTCCGTGACATCTTGATGGTGTGCAGCTCAGAGCTCACTGTTCTCTGTTGGTGTTGTTTGTGGCTTTCTCCTGAGCAGATATGATGTTCTCCCAGGACTTTCAGGGTTCTTCAGAATCATCTGTCAGCCAATTGTGCTTGACTTCACTGTGTTTTGCTGTATGTTTTAGGCACCATTTTGTATTAAGTACTGACTGGTGTGAGAACCAGGTGTGTCTGACTCTCTCTGGCATGTTCTGAATTAGAGCAGTTAGTGTGAATTCTATTTTGGACATATCGTGATACAGCATGGCATTTGCAACTGAAAGTGTATTCTCATATGACGCAACTAGTTTCCTAGTAGTCACTAAATAGAATGTCAATGGCTACCTTTTTGTCTTTTAAGCATGTGACACCTTTTTTCCTTCCTTCCTTCCTTCCTTCCTTCCTTCCTTCCTTCCTTCCTTCCTTTCTCTCTCTTTTTTCTTTCTTTCTTTTCTCTCTCTCTCTTTCTTCCTTCACCTTCCCTTCCTTCCTTCCTTTCCCTTCCATTCCCTTCCCCTTCCTTCCTTCCTTCCTTCCTTCCTTCCTTCCTTCCTTCCTTCCTTCCTTCCTTCCTTCCTTGATAATTCAGCTTTCAGTTCTATACTTCTGTGAAATTAAATTGATATGTATTTGTTTTGTCTTGCTTCATTTTGCTTGTAATTAACTCAGATTCTCTAGGACTGAAAATCAGTATGTAAAGTTTGATTCAGGGCTGAGAAGGCTTGCAGATCTTAAAATTCACTCATCTACTCCAGAAGCTTGAACTTCTCACAACTATAGTTTGAGTTTGTCTGTTCATGTACTTGGTAATAAACTTATGCCAGCATGGTGCTATGTGTTCTCACAAAAGTTTTTATATACGTAGAGCTCTGATGAATGGTTTAATTTAATTTGTTGTCATAATAAAAAAAGGTGGGTTCCTTCCGGGCAGTGGTGGCACACACCTTTGATACCAGCACTTGAGAGATAGAGGCAATCAGGATCTCAGTGAGTTCAAGGCCAGCCTGATCTACAAAGTGAGTTCCAGGATAGCCAGGGCTGTTACACAGAGAAACTCTGTCTTAAAAAACAAAACAAACAAAACAAAAAACAAAAAGTTGGGCGATGGTGCCGCATGCCTTTAATCCCAGCACTTGGGAGGCAGAGGCAGGTGGATCTCTGTGTTTAAGGCCAGCCTGGACTACAGAGTGAGTTCCAGGAAAGGTGCAAAGCTACACAGAGAAACCCTTTCTCAAAAAAAAAAAAAAAAAAAAAAAAAAAAAAAGAAAGAAAGAAAGAAAGAAAGAAAAGAAAAGAAAAGAAAAAAAGTGGGTTCCGAACTGTTAACACATTTTGTCTGTATTACTCATCAACAAGACATGTCAACTTTCTAGTTTCAAGTACAGCTATCTTGTGAATGGTATGTGACAGGAGATTCTTCAGGGTGTTCATAACAAGTGGCTATAATATATGATGAGCTTATTAATAAACTAAATATTAAATAAATATTATTAAATATGGTGGATAATCTTATCTTCTGGTTGTCCTGGTGGTTATTTGTTACAGTCATGTCTCCTCTGAACTTTCAACATGTTGTTATTAAAATTGTAAATATCAGCAAATGTAGGCTGAGAAATAAATGAATGGCCTGTTTCCATTATTCAGCCAGCACTGTTTAAGGTGGCCGTCTGTGAAGGTCCATCTCTGTGCACAGGGTAATGTTTCACTGGACTTCTTTGGATGGTATCCAAAGACTCAGCAGCTTAAGCTCTGTTGGTTCAAGAAATCTGGAAAAAAATGTTCTGAAATTAGGTTGCAAGTTCATCATCCCAGGAGAGAGTGATCCCCTGTAGACAGTGACCTTTGACATTTGCATCAGTATCAGCACATGAGCAGTATAGGAAGCAGGAGGAGAAACATGCTTAGAGCCCAGGATCAATGTGATTGAAAGAAATGTGTCCCTTTGTTTGACCCATCTGGCTGTTTGTAAATACATAGGGAAGGTGAAAAATAGCTCCCATCCATCCTGAAATGCAAAAGTACATGTCACCCAGCATGCCACTCTCTTCCATGTCAACCCAGCTTGTCCTGCTTGTAGTACTTGTGTGCAAATGCTTCAGGCAGAGCAGTAATTTGTGATGGTCGCCTTTCTTCTCCTTATCTGAGCTCTTTGTCAGCAAAGGCACATGTGAGTGACAGCTGAGCATGGTTGAGGGAACTCTGCTGTGTATTCACAAGGTGGTAATCTTCCCTGTGAATCTGTCTTATGTGTACTTTGACATAAGTTCTGAACAAATGTTTTCAAACATTTAAAAACCATATCAACAATTGTGGAGACTTCATATAAAAGTAACTATGGTGATTTCATATAAAAAATAATTATGGAGACTTCATATAAATTATAGGTCTTCAAATTTTCAAGAAAACCAGGAGTATTTGATGTCACTGTGCTCACTGTAGCATCTACTACTTGGAGGCCCGTTTTCTCTAGTTTGCTGTGGTCCCACCTGGCCAGTGTCCTTCATGTATGATCTCTAGAAAATGAATTGAGTTTGTGAATATGGGTCTACAACTGTTACTGACAAGGGCTGATTCCAATGTGAAATGTGACTATGACAAAAAAATAGGCTCTCAGGAATATCCTGATCTTGGCTTTATAATTGGGGGTAAGTTTTCCATTTTTATTTATGCTGCAGAAGCCCACTAGTTAGTTTTTCTTGTGTTGCAGTACAACGAGGACGTGTGTAAGCAGGGCCTAGAACTAGTTAGGTAGTTAGAAAGCCCATGCAGGAATATAGGAAAGGATGGGGTGAGTGGACACTTTTCTTTTTATATTTCTGTTGCTGATTATTGGGGCACACCAACTCAAAGTATGAGGAAGTCAGATCTTTCAAAAGTATTAAAGCAAAGGAAACATCTGTACATTCCATTCCATATTCCACAGGCAGGAAAAAAATCTCAATGCTAATGCTAATTCAAATGTAATGTTATGATATTACATGGGATTTGGCTTTATTTATTAACCTCAAAGCTATGTGTAGAACTTAGTGGGCCATAGAAATCTTATGGCCCAAGTACTGTCAGGCAGTGGAGTGACATTTGTAATTTCTCATCTGCATCAAGAGAAGATCACTGTCATTGAACACAATCTATTTTTGTCAATCAAAAAGATACATATTTGAGTATTCACTATTTTTTCTAGCATTGTTGAGGTATAAAACATTGTCTAAATGTAGGGTTCACAATATGATTGCTTGCAAGGTAGAATGATTGTCACAACCAAATTAGGAGACTCAGTGATCTGCTTGCACTGCAGATCTCAGACACAAAGGAGAACACTGCCAACCTTAGTCTTCGCA